ATTTCGAGTTCGAATCATTCACTCGACCAAACCTACGGGCTACATTAATTCGAGTTTGAATCATTCACTCGACCAAGACTACGGGCTATTTTTATTTCGAGTTTGAGCAAACACTAAGCCTACGGGCTACATTAATTTCGAGTTCGAATCATTCACTCGACCAAGACTACGGGCTACATTATTTCGAGTTCGTGCAAACACTCACTCGACCAAGACTACGGGCTACATTAATTCGAGTTCGAACCATTCACTCGACCAAGCTTACGGGCTATTTTTTATTTTGAGTTCGAGCAAACACTCACTCGGCTATTAAGCCTACGGGCTACATTAATTTTGAGTTCGAATCATTCACTCGACCAAACCTACGGGCTACATTAATTCGAGTTCGAATCATTCACTCGACCAAGCCTACGGGCTATTTTTTATTTCGAGTTCGAGCAAACACTCACTCGGCTATTAAGCCTACGGGCTACATTAATTTCGAGTTCGAATCATTCACTCGACCAAGCCTACGGGCTACATTATTTCGAGTTCGAGCAAACACTAACTCGACCAAATAGCCTACGGGCTACATTAATTCGAGTTCGAACCATTCACTCGACCAAGCCTACGGGCTATTTTTTATTTTGAGTTCGAGCAAACACTCACTCGGCTATTAAGCATACGGGCTACATTAATTTCGAGTTCGAATCGTTCACTCGACCAAGCCTACGGGCTACATTAATTCGAGTACAAGCAAACACTCGCTCGACCATCACCCCCACGGGCTATATTCTCTTCAAGATCGAATCGTTGACAACTAATAAGTCTAAAGGGCTACATTGCCCCAAGTTTGAATAAACGCTCGCTCGGTTGCAGAGACTACGAGGTCCAAGTTGGATTAATTAGTTTAAAACATTATGGAAATATTCATAGGGCAAATCCTCGCAACACAGGAAACAGAAACAAAAGCGAGTCGGCGAAAGAAGAGATATGCCTATACACAAAATTTATCTAAATGGGTGGCTACAACGTAAAAAAAAATCAAACGGTAGCGGTCTCTTCATTATCAGGTTCCCCCCGTTCTCGGATATGCTCTTGCTCCCATCGTCGTCGTCATCATCATCGAAAACCAGAGCTTCAGCATCAGCTTCGAGTTCTTTTGCCTTTTTTATCTCTTCTGTGAGATCGAAGCCGCGAGCATGAATCTCCTCGAGAGTTTCTCTCCTGGATCGGTACTTAGTAAGTTCGGCGACCCAATGCGCCCGACCATCGGCGGATTAGGCTGCCTCTCCTGCCTGAACTTGGGCAGCTTCAGCATCAGCCCGATAGACGGCCACGAGCGCATCCGCATAAGACTTTGCCATTTCAGCATCGGTTTCGGCCTTGGGGAGTACTGAGGCCAACCGAGCCTCAAGCTCCTCAATTCTTCTTGCTTGAACCAGGCCTTTTTCCTTCATTTTCTGAAGTTGGGTTTCAGACGACGATAATTGGGCTCGAGCAGTCTCTTTTTCTGCAGCAAAGCGGTTCATACCTTCTTTCCACCGCAAGGATTCCATCCTTATCACATCGACCTCCTCACGCAACTTCCCTATCATTTCGATATTTTGCTGCAGCTGTGAGAAAAAAATGTTAGCTATCGTTCCGGTATCGAACCCATAGGTTTTCTAAAGCATCATTACCTGCTCAGACAAATCATTCTGGTCTCGATAAGCCTTGGCCAGCTCGGCCCGGAGATCTTTTATTTCCTCCTCTCTTTGCCCTAAGGAAAGTTTGAGAGAGTTCTTCTCGTCGGTAGAGCGGTTCAGGTCAACCGTGTATCGATGCAACTCATTCTGGGAACGAGAACATTGTTCTCGATGGACTGCCGCAGCCTACGAAGAAACAAGAAGCGAAGTTAATGAAAAACGAACATAAAGGCAATGCCAACAAAAAGATTTTTAAAGACTCACCTAGTTCAAAGCCTGCCGCAAACCGTGAAAAAGATCTGATTCATCACCGGCACAGGAAACATCCTCGATACCAGTAAACATGTCACAAAACGGATCCTCTTCATCGTGAGGCCTACCTAGATTGAGGGGCCCCAGAGCTTGAGCTTCCCGAATCACTCCTGCGGAAAAAATGGGAAAGGTAGGCGAATCCTCGATCGTTGCTGCCCCAAGTGACTCGCTCGGAGCATTCCCCTCGGCTCGGAGGGGTTCGAAGGGCTCTTCGAATGTAACCCCTGCCGGTTGACTCCGATGAGAGGCGTCTTCGACATCTGATAGTTCGGGGACTCTCGATATATTTTCATTTCGAGACGGAGCCCCATAGGGCATCTTCGATCCAGCCGGCATTGAAGTATCGGTGGCTCTCTTCGTCCGGACCGCCAGCGTGGACTCATTATCCTCTTCTTCTTCTTCTTCTTCTTCTTCTTCTTCTTCTTCTTCTTCTTCTTCTTCTTCTTCATCCCTTAGGCGCAAAACGGATTCTACGGTCAAAGGAATAATATTCTTGTTCGGCTTACGAGCCGTCCTCTTCTTCGGTTTTGGATATTCGGGCAACGAAGCTCTCTTCCTTTTTTCCTTCACCGGCTTTGGAACGGAGGTCGAAACATCCTTCTCATTAGACAGAGTTCTCAAGACCGCGTCTTTACCCAAACTTGCATATGGGAAACCTTATAAAAAATATTTTGAGAAGTGCCTCGTTAGAGTCCGAGAAATGAGCTTACCGTGATTTTTGGCCTCCCACGGACCCTTACACAAATCACGCCATGAGCGCTCGGCGTATGTGGAAGACGAAACAAGAGCCCGTACCTAATTCTTGAGGTCGGGAACCGCTCCGGGCATCCAGGGAACCGCTACATCACGAAAAGAGAAGTGTCGATAAGAGAATAAATGAAAGAACAAAATAAAAGCAACAACAAAATCACACTTACGTTTCATATTCCACTCCTCGGGAAAGGGCATCTTTTCAGTCGAGATCAGGTCTGAAGTCCTTACTCGAACAAACCTGCTCATCCAACCCTGGTCCCTGTCCTCGTCAATACTCGAGAACAAAGCCTTGGTAGCCCGACGCTGGAGTTTTATTAACCCTCCCCGAAAAAGTCGTGGACGGTATAACCGGATAAGATGATCGAGGGTGAACGACATCCCTTCGATTTTGCTCACGAAATATCGGATCAGAATAACGATCCGCCACAAAGAAGGTTGGACCTAGCCTAAGGTTACCTGATACTGTCGACAGAAGTCGATAACGACGGAATCGAGGGGACCCAAAGTGAAAGGGTAAGTATATACGTTCAAAAACCCTTTTACGTAAGAAGTGATGTCTTCGTCAGGGGTAGGTATTATCACTTCTTTTTCACCCCAATTGCAGTCCTTCTTTAACAAATCGAGGTGCTTCTCAGTAATCGAACACATGTAATTCGATACCGGCTCACACTGGCTAGGGACCGATGAACCTTTATCAACTTTAAAATCTGAAGTAAGGACGCATGCCCCGAGGACACACTCCCCTGGCCGTGGTTCCGCCAGTGTCTCATCAGCGACACACTGTGAAGATGAAGCTTTCTCTTTCTAAGGAACGATTTGCGATGTTTTCGCCATTTTTGAGTTCAAAAATAAGGAGTAGAAGAAAGTGATAGAGATTTGGTAGAATTGAGGGGTCTTTTCGGAAAGAAATCGCAGCTTTTTTGGTAAGCTGGAGAGTATAAAGAAGAAATTGAGAAATTTTAGAAGATAGAAGATGTAAAAATGGTAAAAGATAAAGGCGAGAGTTATTTATAGGTTCAATGCGACGGCGGTTCATTATCAGCAGTGGCCGACCACCGCCTGACATGCATTAAATGTCTTGAAAGACTAAACCGACAGGACAGCTACCATATGCGTCATGGTCGAACATGAGGGAAGCGACAAGATATAATTCGATCGAGCTGTTGAAAATCATATCGTTTCTCGCCATATTTCTTTTTGAGAAACGAGGGGACTATCTGTATACGGTCGAAATAGATTTCAGCCTTGGCATGTCCGGTACGGTTCGAAGGGTGGTATATTGAAGTAAGATCCCGAAGGGGGGCACGAACTAACCTAGAACCCGGGGAGGCCGATCCGTGATGAGATCGATATCATAATTGAACTCGAACAAGAATCGAACCGTGACACGGGTAGATCTATCGTGTTGATAATCTAAAAACCAACCTACATCGACCTGGAATCAATTCAAGGGCTCGAACCAGGGTCGGGCTCGAACCAAGGTCACAAGTTCGAGCCGAAATCAAGCTCGAACCAAAATCGAGGATTCTAAGCAAGATCGAGTTCGCAGACAAAAACCGTTGTAATCCCACTAGAGGGAATCTTGGCAGAAATTATGGAAAAACTGATTTATCATGGGTCTCCCATTGGATGTTTATTTTATTTTGCTTGGAGTTAAATCCTTCCACTATAAAAGGGTTTGGTTATCATATCTGTAGGGAGACCTTTTTGTGAGATTTACACTATAAAAAACTGTATTATTTCCTCTACAAGAAAGAGTGGTCATTCTAGTTTCTTAGATTGATTCTATTTTTTTAAATCCTAAGATTCACTGTTCGTGATTGCCTTGTCTAGATTACGTTTTCTCCAATATATATTTACACTTTTATTTATCCTTGCATTCTGTATTAAGTTGTATCACATATCTTCGGAACTGCGTATAAATTCAACTCTATCCATTTTTCGGGTAAACAATCCCTAATTAATATTGCGACATCGAGGACAAATGGAATTGGCACAATGTAACTGAAGCTGACGAGTTATGTTGTCCATTAATCCTTCTTTTCCAGTAGACCAAAATAGTGCAATGCTGCTGAAATTTAGATGTCTTTGGTCATGTGCCATGTCTGGTCTGGAATAAGGTTTCCTTACATTACACGTTCTTCTGCCTAGATCAATTATCACATTCATGCATTTATTGACTCCCCATTCCTAAATTTTATGACGTCCCAAACAACTACTACTCCCTATATATCATAACTGCTCACTGTTTTACGCGTTTCTATCTTTTTCTTATTGGACCTCCCCTGTTTTCTCTTTCTCCTTTACATATTTGGTAGTATTTCCTTTCATGTTGAATAGAATAACATGGATGTTCATCTCGCATGCAAGAATAACATGGATGTTCATCTCAACTATTCGTAATTTTCATTCATGTTATCAAGGAAGGAAACATTATTGGTCATGTTTGATACGCTTTAACAAGTGAATTTTTTTGTCGTTTTCATGCCATTTGTGCTAAATTACTCTCTCCATATATTTGGCACATTTTATTTTCAATCGATTCCAAAAAAGAATTATATGTTTTTATTTTCGAAAATTATTTAATCTTTGTATTTCTGTTTATATTGGGACCTATTATTTATAGAAGTCATTCAGATCACACAATTAAAAGAATATTTTTTTGGTACTTGCATGTGTATGACTCACATTCAAAAGAATTTTAAAATTTCTTCAGTATATTTTTGTTGTTGAGGGTCTTGCAAAAATATCATCTATAGGAATAAATACTTTACATATACGAGGTATGTTGTTATTGTTGTTGTCCTGTATATTTTTGTGCAAATGCCTGTAAATCCAACAAGCAACAACCTTTGGTTACTAATTACTACCCGCTGCTCCTACCGCCGGCTGGTTAATCACTTTCATTGTTAGGCATTTTCTATTGTACAGGCATTTACTCCTATCTCATTTTTCACTAGCTGGTTGATGGACCAACATTATTGTTTTTGCTATAAATTCCATTTCTATTATCACACTGTCCCAAAAACATATGCCCCCCTTCCTTGTTCCACGAGATAGCAAACCAAAATGTCAAAGCAGCTGCTACTCTTCTTCTTCATCCTTTTTTCTTTAACTCTTCCAATTTTCAGCCAAATTACTCCTCCTTCACAATCACCTTCTGTCGCATGCAAATCCTCACTTTACCCAAAACTCTGCCGATCCCTTCTCTCTGCATTTCAGCATTCTCCTTCTAACCCAAATGACTACAGCAAGTTCTCTGTGAAGCAATGCCAGAAAAATGCGGGCAAATTATCCAGCTTAATCGCACATTTTCTTACAACCCAGAAAGGGAGAGCACTATTTGTGAACAGCAAAGAGATTACTGCTTTAAATGACTGTCACCAGCTCTCTGAGCTCACAGTCGATTACTTAGAGTCCATCTCTGCCGAGCTGAAAGCAGCTGACGGTGCCACTACTTCCGATGCTTTAGTTGGAAAAATGCAGACATTGCTGAGTGCTGTGGTGACGAATCAGCAAACGTGTTATGAGGGACTGAAAGAAGCAGGCAGTAGCATGGTGGCTGAATTGTTGGCGCCGCTGAGCAACGCGGCGGAAATCTACAGCGTGTCTCTTGGGTTGGTGGCGCATGCATTGGGACGGGTAAGGAAACCCAGAAAAACTGGCGGATTGTTGGCTGAGCACAGAGGATTGATGGAGGAAGAGTACTGGGCACGAGATTCAAGATTGATGGCTTCCAAGGTAATCCCATTCTTAGTTTTAATTTATAAGTATATATGTTCGCAGTTTAAAAGAACTTTTACTAGCATAAAAAGGTAGTGTCATAATATGAGAGACTATTAACCTAGAAATTATAAAACTGGTAATTTAGTAGGTTAAATTATACTACAAGTAGTGTGAATTTTAATTTTTGAACACTGTGTATACAAGTTAAATGAGTCATTTCTGCCATGCTATATAGCACAGACAACAATTTTGGGTCATTTATTTGCTGCAAATTTTCTGCCTTTCTATCACCGCCCGCTATTATTGAGTCAACCATTGATAGATCTTTACTGCAACTGCTGTTAGAATTTAATGCGCTCTAGTAATAGAAAGAGTCATGCGTGTACTTCAGATTTTAAGATAGTACTCATAAATAAAAGCTGCTTACCAAGGTAGCCCTGGGCATAGGAGAAAGGATAGATAAAGACATTAAAGAATATTAGTACTCTGTTCAATACTACCTCCGCTGTCTTTTTAGTTGTCCATTTTTTTACTTTGTACTGCTTTTTAGGAAAAATAAATAAAGTATTTATCCATAATAATGATATCATTTTAAAAAGTATTAAAAAATAATTTAAGAATAAATAATTAATAACAAAGGTAAAACAACAACAACAAATTAAACTCAATGAAATTTCACATGTGCGGTTTGGGAACGATGTCTTTCTTGGTAGATCTTGTTTGTGATAGCGAAGAAATAATCTCATGCAATCAAATTACAATAGGTCAACATACCTAAAGTAGTCCCAAATGTGTTTATGAATTGTAATTTGATCGCATGAGAATGGTTACAATATGAATTTTAAAAAACGATTAATACAAATATATCTTGTGTTTTACCTATCAATCTTTCGTGAGAAAGATCACATTACTGAAATAACATTTACATAATGAGCACAAAACACGATAACTTACTCTCTTTTTTCTATTGACTAGTAAAGTTGGTGGCACTTAGTGCAATCGTGAGAGACATAAGTGAACTTACGGAAAGATCAACAGACTAACAACGTATTTTGATGCTATTTCTCTCTTTTCTATATAGAAAAAGAAATAGTTGGTAGATCTTGTTTTGGAGAATATCTATACTGCAATGTGTAACTGACCCTCTGTTGTCTTCTACTCACAACTAGCTCTAAGGATGAACTGGTAATTTTGTCTCTTTCTCGTTTCCTATTGAATGGCCTGAGATAGCCACAGTCCACTTGATATTAAAAATGGAAACTACAAGTACCATATTTATTTCAGAATTGTAAAATGGCTGTGTTACTGGCTGCATTTTTCTAGGGAGACTGGAAACTAAAGAAGAAAAGAATACCATAAAAAAATAAAAGGTAAGAAACCTGACAAACGTAAAAAATTGCACCCAATTCTTGACTTTATAGTTGATGGAAAATCCTCACCCAAAAAACAAAAAAAAAAGATTAGTCTGTGTGACTGCAAATTCCACTTTTTCCCCTATTCTTATGGCTTCAAAGTCAATATTGTCCCTACGTTAGCTCCATATTGGATTGCATCCCCAACAAATCTGTCGCAGTTTAGTCCCTACATCTTTCTTTCTTTTTCAGAGTTTGGTACTTACATCCACTACTAGCCAAAATTGTTGGTTTCGTGTAATGTGCATGTGGAGAAAAACAATTGGTAAAGGCAAGCAACTCTGACATAACCATCTTCCGAAAATAATTATGACAAATTATTATGTTATCTGTACGTAAATCCTTTAAGATCTAAAGTTAATATAACTCATTTTCTTTTTATCAAGTGTAATCCTTATTTGTCAAAAAATGAAGGGTAAAAGAGAGAAAGGCGGAAGTAAAATAATGGGATATTCAAATCGGTTGACAATCCGATTAGAAGAGAAATTCAAAAATAGCCAGATTTATATGTGGTAATTTAAAAATAGCCACAGTTTTAAAAGTAATTAATATTTAGCCAAATTTCATGTAAAGATAAATCTGAACGAAAAAACTGTTCAAAATTCGAAAAATATTCCAGCATAATATACTAGAGTTCGAATTTTTTACATGTTAACTTTCAGCATAATATACTGGTCCAGCATAATATGTTGGAAGTTCATACACATGTGCTCCAATCTCCAGTATATTATGCTGGAACTTTCCGTGTTAGAGCAAAATAATGGCTGTTTTTGAATGACTTTACAAACGTTGGCTATTTTTCAATTAACAATCCGAAAACTGGCTAGCCCATGCTATTTTTACGTTAAATGTGTATGTCTTGGGCTTTTTTTAGACACTGGATGAAATTCAAAAATAGTCACATTTACAAGTGGTAATTAAAAAATAGTTACAGTTTCAAAAGTAATCGAAATTTAGCCACTTTTCATGTAAAGATAAATCTGAACGAAAGCACTGTTCAAAATCCGGAAAATATTCCAATATAATATACTGGAGTTCGAATTTTTTATATGTGAACTTCCAGTATAATATACTAGTCCAGCATAATATATTGGAAGTTCATACATAGGTGTTGGAACTCCAGTTTAATATACTGGAGTTCCAGCATAATATACTTGAACTTCAGTATAATATACTGGAGTTCCAGTATATTATACTGGAATTCGAGTATATAATGATGGAATATTTTTCGAATTTTGAATAGTGTTTTCGTTCAGATTCATCTTTACAAGAAAAGTGGCTAAATTTTGATTACTTTTAAAACTGCGACTATTTTTCAATGACCACTTGTAAATCTGTTATTTTTGAATTTCTCGCTACGGAAGTTTAAAACGTCTTAAGAAAATGTAGTCTAACATATACTCCCTCCATTTCAATTTATGTGAACCCATTTGACTGGACACGAAGTTTAGGAAAAGAGATAAGACTTTTGAACTTGTTGGGTAAAATGAGGTACATATATTTTGTGTGGCTATAAATCATTGCATAAAGATAAATTGTTTCTAAACAAGAAAAAATGTCATTATTTTTGACACATGCTAAAAAGGAAAGAATTTCACATAAATTAAAACGAAGTGAGTATATGTTTTGAAAACAAACTCCTATAAACTATAAAAGAAACTCATGAGCATAAAGATTTTCGGCATCTTGAAAGTTATGGTGCTTTCAAACAAAAAACGGGGAAAACTTTGCTATAACTATTGTCTCATTTACTAGCAATAGTATTGCCACATGGCACATGTCCTTTTGAGATCTAAGCTCCTTGACTTCCTTCAAACTTTGGCTCGTTTATTTGAAGGGTTAAAGAAAAGGTAGGAGGTCATAATTAAATTCTTCTTGAGCTTTATTCTTATGACTAAACAAATCTCTTCTATGTGCATAATTTATTGAAAAAAGAATTATCTTGCATGTCAAATATTTATTGCTGTAAGAAAAATTAAAGAAAATGATAATGGCTAAAAGTAAGAAAGGTGTAGTAAATAGGTTAAATCAGCCTATCACTATTAATGCTAGTAATACAAAGTTATGATGTTTTGGGGTTTAAACTTCAATCAATTACCAAGGTAGTCATAAGAGATCAAAATAGCTACTCAAAGAGATTGAGGTTATATTAATGGTACTATAAATTGTGGCAGATCACATATGTACATATCTTTCATCTACCTTTTTGACTTTTCATATTTAGCACGAATCTGCTTAAAGAAAATTTCCAAAAACAATTTACACACTTACAAGCAGGTTAAACAAGCATCGGAGAGGTCTCATCAAAGGGGTGGAAGGATTCTTGACGAGTTGGTAGAAAATGGGGTTCACATTAATCAAACCGTAACAGTTAGCCCTTATGGTGGCTGCAACTTTACATCAATAGGAGAAGCCATTGCATTTGCGCCTAATAACTCAATGATTGAAGATGGCTATTTTCTCATCTACGCGAAGCAAGGATACTACGAGGAGTATGTTGTCGTGCCCAAGAACAAGAAAAATATTATGTTGATTGGAGAAGGAGTTGATCTCACTGTGATTGCTGGAAATCGAAGTGTCATAGACGGCTGGACAACCTATAATTCAGCAACCTTTGGTAAGTAAGCCTTTTTACAAATTGCCAAATTCTTCCCAAAATGTCATGTTTAAGTATTACTACTACATTTTTGCAAAGGGTAAGCTGTTGGTATGAAATCTTTTTTCTGTGTGCAGCCGTTTCAGGGGAACGGTTTGTAGCCATAAACATAACATTCAAGAACCTAGCTGGTCCTTGGAAGCACCAAGCTGTAGCTCTAAGGAACAATGCGGACCTTTCCACATTCTATAGATGTCGTTTTGAGGGCTATCAAGATACTTTGTACACGCACTCTTTAAGACAATTCTACAGAGAATGCAATATCTATGGTACAGTGGACTTCATCTTTGGCAATGCAGCTGCAGTTTTCCAAAACTGCAATCTATTTGCTAGGAAACCACTGCCAGACCAGAAGAATATTTTCACAGCACAAGGCCGAAGTGATCCCAATCAGAACACTGGCATTTCTATCCAGAACTGCACCATTCAAGCTGCACCTGATTTGGCTCAGGACATGAATCTCACGTTAAGTTTTCTTGGCCGGCCATGGCACAATTACTCTAGGACTGTTATCATGCAGTCTTATATAGGAGATGTGATCGCGCCTGTTGGATGGTTAGAGTGGAATGGAACGAATGGACTCGACACCCTTTACTATGGGGAGTTTGAGAATTATGGACCAGGGGCTAATACAACAAAAAGAGTAGAATGGCCTGGTTATTACTTAATGAATGCTTCACAAGCAATGAACTTTACTGTCTATAATTTTACAATGGGAGATACTTGGTTGCCGTCTACAAATGTTCCTTTCTCTCAAGGCCTGTAGTTGGAATTCCTGTATAAATCAGATAGCTTTATGTACTTTTGTTCCCATTCTTTTCCTCAATTCTATTCTTTAACTTCATGCTTAGATGAAATTACAGAGTTTCATTGATTACTAATGCTCTTGTTAGTGTGGTAAAAGGAATATATATATAACTTTTTCAACTCTTTCATGTGTTTTTACATCATGTAATTTTACATTTGTCAACACAGAAGCAAAGAAATGTAATTGTATTTGTATTTGCTCAAAGAAATTGCTCATGTATTCAATGATCTCAGACAATTAACAGAATTCAACCAAGGAACTTCAAGTAATGAATCAGAGGGTGAAGTGATGCATAGAACAACATCCAGATCTTCTAATATCAACTATTCTTTTTCGCTTATATACGTAGGCATCAAATAATTAATTTTTCTGCAATCAAAATTTATTCATCTTTCTAATTTTTCTTTGAACGAGATCACCACATAGACACTTCATTCCATGTAACTAATACGTGCGACAAAGTTTGTTTTAGTTTTTTCTCCACTCGTTTTGTTTGAGCTGTTTTCGTTAGAAAAAATTAGTAATTCTTTTCTTTTCTCTTTTTGAATCACACAAAAATAGCTCAAACAAAATGAGTTTGCAAAAAGAAACTTAAAATCCTATTTCGCAAATTCTGTTTTGAAAATTTTCAAACAAACCCCTAAAATTCTCCAATCATGGCATGGATTACCTTTTTACCTGTCAAGCTGTAGCCTTAAAGGACTTTTTTGAATCAAAAAGAGGGAACATATAAGACAAATGAAAAGAAAGCAAATAAAGTTAAAGAAAAGGAAATAATGCATAGAACGATAGGAAGTATCTTGTATCAGAAATATTAAAGATTTGGACGGTGCTGGAATATAATGCGTAGTTTGAAACTTAACGCATGGGAAGTTTTTGTTAGTGGAATTTCGAGGTCCATTTCTATTATATTTATTTTGTATCTTGTATCAGAAATATCAAAGAATTGCGAGAAATATTATAGAATAAAACATTAAGATATACTCGAGTATAACTTTCTCTCGAAATACTCTTGAGATAAGTTAGAATATTATCTCTTTGAACCAAAAACAAAAGAATATTATCTCTAATTTGTACTATCCTGGTATATTCTTTGTTATAGTCGACTTGTTTTTTGCCATTCATTGACATAGGTATAATTGTCGTAAATTATTGTCTCTATATTCCTTTCATCATTAATTAATTATTATAAAAAAGACCAAACACTAAAGCGCAAAAAATTCTTATCGATCTACTTGCTATTCCAGTATTCGTCCAAGTAAAATTACATCACTGATGATTTATTAGGCTAAGAGTATAGAGAACCTCGATTTAACAGAACGAGATATTCAAAATTAGTTTTGAGTACCAAAAGATAGAAGAAAAAAAACTCTTTAGAAAGGAGATGCTCAATTGATGTTAAAATACTTTCAAAAGCATAAATTTAAGAACCACAATATCTTTAATGCAATACAAATGGATGTAATAGGTCAACTAGCAGATTGTTCTGGCGTTGATGATTTAGTGTAGCTTATAAGATTTTTTAAGAGGTTGTCATTTTTTAACAAACTGAGCTTACTCTTGAATTATCAAATTCATGATAATAAAAACTGGTAAACACTATTTGGGAACGCATTTTCAATTGTATCTGTTATTACAAAATTCTGATCTTTGATGATTGCACAAGTGGCTACACCAAATATTGCCGCTTGCCAAGTTCGAAGTAATCACTCAAAAGTTTCTTTAGCTTTATTCCAAAGTAGAGAGGACTGATGATGATTACTAATTAACTCCTATAAATTAGAAAAAGACAATTGTATTTTTTTGCCAAGTATATAGGATAAAGAATACAACCTCTCCAAAAAATTTATAAGCTACTCTAGACATAATTAGCATCAACCCAAAGATAATTAGCTACAATTATTGGATGTTAAACTAACATTGGTAAATTAGTGATTTCTATTGCTATTTTCTTTATTAATAAAAAATATTTAAGAAGTAAACATAATCGATAACTTACCTGTAATAGGCTTTAAAATTACCTAATAGTGAAGAATTGTTGTAATTACCATTAACTACGTGGAATAAAAACAAAAAGATATTGTAATTACTAATTAGCGTAACTGAAAAGTTATTCGTGTTCGTACATATGTTGATATTTTCTTTTTATTCAGTTATATAGGCATAAAATTTTCTTGCCCCTTGTCTCTATGCAAGGATATTTTAATCGGATTGCCAAAGTGGTGTAGTAATTGCTTTTTGATTTTGACGGTATTGCCTTAATATTATGCTAACTTTTACACCATCCTACCATCTTTGGACACTGGATTTAAGTTAACATATTTGTTTAACAAAAAAATTGGATTCTCAGTTAAAGCCTAATTTTAAAAGTATTCGGGTTACTGATAATCAAGAAATTCAATATTGTCTTAAAAATAAGAAAGAAAATTAGAATAAAAAATGACAAAATAATCAATTGAAAGCACAAGAAAATAATTATATTCCAATAATAATCAGAACGTGTCCTTACAAGAGAAATTCTCTTTCCTTATATAAGAATTTACAAATATAACGTTTCTTCCCTTTTATGACCGAATCATTATAAGCATTAATGACATTAATGAAACGTTATAATTGGCAACCGTAATTGTTCATGAAGATTCTGTAACGGTTCCGAATCTTCTTCCACATTAATTAGAGGTTCATGAATCTTCCCTCTTTACTGTCTTGATTCATCCTGCCTATATCTCTTCACTGAATAATTTAGGCTCGAGCAACCGTATCTTTTCGTCTCGTGAGTGATTTGCTCGTACCTATTGTAAATCGTGAATCTTTTAATGCGACACTCCAGTTGACATCTTCTTAGTGATCCACGTATCTTGCCCTGTCATCTTCGTATAATTTCACATGTAATATTTATTTTTTACTAATACAGATAGTCCCCCCACTTGCCAAATATTCAGCAATTGAATATTTGGGAAGTGGTACACATTTATGGCGGAATTTTTTTGTCGTCGTTTTCCATGTATCATTGTGTCTTTTTCAGAACCAACGCGTCGTATGTCACTTCCATTTAATGCATGTGCCACGTGGCGTTTATCGATTGGGTCTGCGACTCTTCAGTGGTTTTTAGGGCTTTCCTGCGACTGCGTCAGTCACGAAGTGACTGTTTCATTATGATGTTTCCATCATGACTCCCTTTACATGATGGTTGCTTCTTCTTATAAATACCTCTTGTGCCTTTGCTTTCACGAAAACCTTCAATCTACAGTATTCTTCTTCCATAATCGTTCTTATACATCAACACGTATTATTTTACAGTACATCCATGTCTTCATCGAACCCTGATCCTCGCAAAGTAGTAATTGTAGATGAACTTCCCCCTTCAACTGCTCTTGTTAGGAGTAGAAGAGGCGGTAGGTTGCGTAGCTTAGGATCTTTATCTGTTCGTGGTTCTATTTCTCAACCCAACGTTGCTACCCCTTCTTCTTCTAGAACTAGGGCTTCTTCAACTCATAGATCTTCTGCCAGAAATAAGGATTCGAGTGAACCTATTCGAGAACCAACTGTTGACGAAATTATTCCTGCAGAATTTTCTTTCTCCACTGATCGTGAATCAATTAGAAATCAAGTTACTTCTATGACTTCCCATGATCGTGCCGATGTTTTTCCTTCCCAGATTACTGAGGGTTTGATTTCTCTTGTGCGAAGAGAATGCCATTGGAAATTTAACTTTCCAATTTTAGTTCCTAGTCCAAACCAAAGGATTACTTCGTTCCAAGCTGGTTACTCTTTCGTTTACACATATCCTTTTATGTTAGGTATTAGACCACATATTGACCCAGTCATCATAGAATTTTGCCGTTTCTTTAACGTTTGCTTAGGACAGATTGGTCCTATTGTATGGAGAGCTGTTGCATGTTTAAGATACCTGGCTAATTCGGCCTCTTTACCCTTCACATTTCAACACTTGCTTCATCTTTATTCCCCTAAGTTGTTTCGTTCAGGGGTGTTTACTCTCGTGGCTAGGAGTAAAAGGGTTTTGGTTAGCCCTGAAGATGATAAAGATCGTGGCTGGTATGCCCGTTTTGTTGCTTCTCCCACAAGTGATTTAGTGGGTGAAGAGAACATGCCTTTTCCAAAAAAATAGAACTTTGCACGTAAGTTTTGTTTTAGATACCTTTCTTCTCTTCTATGAAGGAAGAAGAAACTTACGATCCCGTGGCTATTTTGTTTTCTTTTTAGCAACCATGAAATTTGTTGAAGAAATACCAGACTTTCGTGCTTGGGTAGAAAAATTGTTGTCGGTTGCTCCTATGGAAAAAAGGTCTTGGAAATACCTTTCTCATAGGTTTGGTTGGAAAGTTAAAACTCATGGTATGCTTCCCTTTAACTTTTTACCTTTCTTTCATATTTATTTGGGGATTTACTAACTTCTTCTTCTGCTAGGATTTCCCATTCGGGGTGTTAGTGTCGCATCTATTGCTTCATCAAGACTTTCTTTGTCTATGGCTCAAGAGATGATTTTGAGTTCTTCATCAAAGAGAAAAGCAGAGAGAGCTCATGGTTCTGAGGGTGAAGAGGAACGAGAGGAGGGTTCTTTAGTGCGTAAGCCTCGGGCTAGAAGACGTGTTATTTCGGATGATGAAGCCACTCCTCCTCCAAATTCAGTTCCCGTGAATGAGCCTGAAAGTGCCACTTTGGTGAGTTCTGATGAAGAGATGATTGTTGCACCTCGTGACTCTACAGAACAGTTGTTTTCCCGTGAGTTTGATAGTGAAGACTTTGGCTTAGTTTCTGATGAAGCACCCCTTGCGTCCTTTCAAGTATCTGCTCCTATTGGTTCTCAGTTTACCGCGCCTGTTGTTGCTGCCACTACTCTTCCTGTGACTATTTTTACTTCTTCATCTGTCCGTATCGCTACCACTTCTCATGTTGAAGTTGGTTCTTCCAATAGCAGTAGGATGATGAAAAAAGTTACCATTGAAGTCCTCGAGGATGGTAATCTTTTGAAAAAGTCTGGCCAAGCTGATGTATGGCTGAAACCACTGATTGTCCCAGTTGAGAAGTCTAAATTGGAAAACCACAACTCTTTGACATGGATGAATGACATTGTCCATTCATCTTTGAAGGTATAAGC